GAGAAAATTTCCGTTTTGAATGAACAGCATGTTAAAATCGATGAATGCGTCTATGGGACCGACCGCTGGACGTAATGGACTTTAGTCGAGGATGGGGGGGGGGGGGAAGCAACCACCAAAATGGGAGGGACTGCAGCAATAGAGCCGGAGTTGGAGGAAGAAAGCAAAGCCTTTTTGCTTGCCGAGGTGGAGGAAAGAGAGAAGCCAGGCTTACGTTTCTGACTCGAGAGTCAAGTGTGCCAGCAGCAACGTACTGGGCAACAGTCTCCATAGTCTCCACAGGAAAAGGAGAACAGGAACTGCCGACATGAAGAGTGCTGGGAGGATAATTGACAGGTGGCGTGGAGGGCCAAGAGACGTGGGGGTGGGGGAGAGACGGCAGACTGGAAAGGAAGGAGAACACCAGATGGAGAACCAGGACGATGACCTCGTGGTTCAGAACGCAAAGGAGCAGGGTCTGTGAGCGTGTCCGGGTCCAAGGCCTGAAAACTGTTTAAGACCGAGAAAGGACGGAAGGTATTCCGATGGAACGCAACACATGAGCGTAAGATATATTAGAGAGGGAAGAGCTAGTGGACTTGGCGTCTTGCCTCGGGAAAAAGACAAACGAGCTCGGTGCTTCAACTTAAAAGATGGTTTCCTCAAATTTGTAGTGTACACACGCGCGGGTAAAGGTAGGGTGGACGTAACTGGGACAATAAGTCTGGGAAGAGTCGTCCCCACACATAGGGCATAGACACATTGCACTTGTGCATTTGTGGGCACCATGCCCAAATTTCCAGCACTTATTGCAAAGTCTAGGAGAGGGAATGTACTCCTGAACGGAGCAGCATCTGGCACTAGCAAGAATTATAGAAGGCGGAAGGGTCCTACTATCAACAGTGATCTTCACAACTCAAGAAGCTGGTGACGATGACCACGAGAGGATCGAGTGAAGTTATCAACCTGGAGGACAGAATGGCCTTGGGCCTCAAAGATATGTTTAATATCCTCGTGGCAGTCTTTCAGGTCCCTAACACCTGTCACATCATGGTGCAGAACAGTGCCAATACTGCCATCTAACTAGATAATTTTTGGAAATCCCTAACAGGGGTGGGGTCGCATTGTCCAATGGGGCTAAGCGGGACAGCTGCTTTCAGAGTAGCAGCAGCAGCGACACGTAACAAAACGGGTGGAGTTAAAAGTAACAAGAGGCATCCACCGAATCAACAAGGTGTTTATGGAGGGAGAAATCATCAGGACGTGTAGAATCCAGATGGTTGAGATAAAAATATTTAGTCACTATAGTATACCCCCTTGCCCAATAGGAATAAAACCTGCTGGGTTGTTCAGCCTGTCATTTGTACCCAGACACAACAGCTTATCAAACAAGATTAACATTTGTCAAGTTTTAATAACGTAAGTTATCATGGGGGTGTAAAGTAATTATCAAGAGGCCAAGCTGGGATGGCTGTCCACCATCAAATGTTCTGGATATTCAAAAGGCCACAAATATCACCAAGGATGTCTATGCGAGAACAAAAACTCATAAAGGGAGCGATATCATAGGCACCAATATTCGCCAAGAATTCTATCCAACAGGCTGTTGCTTGGAGCGGCTGGTTGCATCCTGGGGTCAGTAATTCGACCTGGGGGGGGACCTCGATATAAACCTAACATGTGAATACACTCTGGCCTCCTGTTCCCTGACAATGAATTATTGAATTATAAGTTGGAAAAAGCGGAGTGTATAAATCACTTGAGCAAGAGACTTTCAACAGTTACTTCCAGAAAACAGCCGTGGAAGTGAAGGAAACAAAAGGCAAGACTAGAAGGGTTTCACTGGCACAGAGTAAGCTCGCCAACAACAATACTGAAGCTGGCATCGTGCTTCACAAAACTAATCAGGGACAATGTAAACGGATTGAAAAACAAATGAGAAATACCTGCCTGTCCAGACTGTCCCATGCGACGTTCACAGACGAAAAGCCATTTCACATGTACTGCCCTCGTTCCACACCACGAGGAACATAGCCGGGAGGCTATACATGAAATACGCTGCAAGGCCACTGCAAGGAGTGGGCTCTAAGGTCCCACAATCCCCAAAAAATGGATCATGCCCAAATAAGGTCTGAAGTCTGGGAGATTTAATATAATCTTGTACCTGAAGACATGAGAAAGTGTCTAAAAAAAAAAAAAAAAAAAAAAAAAAAAAAAAAAAAATTCAAATGAGTCTACACCACCAAGTTTGGAAACTTTCCCCCAGACAGATTTGCTGGCCGCACCATTATTAATTTTTAGCATGGCAACAGCTATGAACTACAACATCAGGTATTCGAATGGGTACCTTGCCAGCATCAATTTATGGTCATTCTTGGTGACCTAAAGCAGGGTCTTGCCAATGCAGAACAAAGCTAGGCAGGCGGGTGCTCCCCGAGAAGGGACAACAACTACACTCGAGTCAATCCAGATGGGAGTTAAAGGCCTGGTCGCCCACCTCATGAGCCAGTGTTAAGAAAAAGACTAGTTTATTTTATAATTTTTTCAAGTTTGGGTTACAGAGTCAAAGGATCCACCCATCAGGGCAGCATAGGAGGCCGAGCGCTGGCCAGTGCAGGAAGGGTGCGTCGATCCTAGCAGTGCCCACCTTTTTAACAAGCAAGTTACTGCATCTATATTCTTCTTCCCGGTCTGAAGACCCCTTCCTCCCTCTTGCCCCACCCAGGACACCTAATCAATCTCTAAAGGCAGCGCCTCACAGGCGACCCCGTGGAGAGGATCGCCTGTTGGAGAGGGGACCAAGACAACCCTCACCAGCTCCAGTGAGTCATACGCAAGCTCCTTTACGCATGACATCCAAATAACTGAAAATATAACCGATAGCACTATCTCTGCAGATTTTGAAAGAGAAAGGCAGTGCGCCATCAGCAGAAACACTGTATATTGTGGAGAAAACACTTGGACACTGGGGAGTTATCAGAAGCACTTAAAATCGGTAGATATAGCTTCCCTACGAGAGGGAGGGAGCAAAACATTGCCTATAGACCAGTTGCACTAATGAAAGAATGATCAGAAGTCAGATCTCCAGTTTTATGGTGACCAATTACCTCCACAACCCAGGTCAACATGGATTTAGAGAAAGAAGATAACTCTTGCAGCTTCTTGACCAATATGACCACTGAGGCATTAGAAGAAAAACAGAATGCAGATGTGGTATCACGGACATAACAAAGGCATTTGATAAATGCGACCATGGAGTGATAGTCCACAAAATGAGATCAGTAGGGATAACAGGTAAAGAGGGACGACGGACATTAAATTTTCAAACCGAATGCAAAAAGTAATAGTCAACGAAAAATATAGTCCTAACACAGTTAAAAGCCCTGTACCTCAGGAAACAGTCCTTGCAACACCGATGTTCCTTATTCTCATACCAGATATCAACAAACACAAGTCACAGCTTTGTGCCTTCTGCAAAAGATCACAAAAAAATTTGCATGAAAATTACCTTTGTACTAGACATTGACAACTACAAGCTGATATTAATAAAGTTTTTGACTGGGCAGCAGTAAATAACATGTCTAACAGTGATACATTACAAGTACTAAGGTAAGGTAAAAATGAAGACCTTAAACAAAATATAGAGTACTAAACACAATAAATCTGCCCATAGTAGGAATGCAACCTGTAAACACTCCAGGAATAATGATGTCTGCAACTTTATGTTTTGGGAGCAAAACCAAGAAAATATAATGTCATCTAGAAAAATGACAGGATGGATTATGATAACCTTCAAATCCATGGATCACATTCACCATGCTCATACTGTCTTAGTGATGCTGTTCTGCCTTGAGCATTGCTCCTACAGTACTTGCGTTTCCCTTTAGAGCAAGAGATTGCTGAAATAAAGAGAGAATACAGAGAAAATATATGGCATGCACAGACTTGATAAAGCACCCTAAATTATCAGAATCTTCTTAAAGCTCTCAAAATGTACTCTAGAAAAGGGATGCGAGGCATCAAATAATATATACACGGATAATACTGAGGGCCAGGTCCCAAGTTTACACAGAAAAATAACATACTGGAGTGAACGATATAGAAAGAAATGCAGAATAGAGCCAGTGAACAATCTGTATGAAAACCTGAAGTTCACAGTTGTTCAATGCTGTTCCTCTCAGCAGGTCTAATATATATTACCAGAACAAAGTTTTAGTCTTCAAGAAAAATCTAGACTGCTTCTGCAAGGGCCAGACCAATCAGGTTGTAGTGAGCATGTGGGCCACTCCAGGCAACAGCCTATTGAACCAAGCTCTCAAGTTATGCCTGGTCTGAGGCAGGCTTGGAGAGTAGAACTCTAAAAAACACTTCGTTCAGGTACAATCCAGGAGGCCCCCCTTTACCACAAGGGTGGTGTAGGTCAAGTACCGGACTCAAAAACGCAACTCGCTGCCACCTAATGGAGTGCCACCCTGCTCCTTACTGGCCCACCCAATCACACACGGTTTTGTAGAATGTTCCTATTTACTGGGTGGCAATTCCTGCTTTCTCAATGTTTCCTTTGTGAACCCAATATTACCTCATCTTTCTTGCTCTCATTGCCATCCTGAATGAATTATCGATAGGTGTTTTTTTATTATTCTGCGAGACTGCTAAATGCAGTCATGGAATACACAAAGTAATAGTGCAAAGGCACCAAGCCAGTTAGTGTGTAAAGTATGTGCTACACAGATGCCCTAAATATTCTAGATGCTTGTAACAATAATAGTGCATACACAAGAAACCATATTAAAAATACTAGTCCCCAAGGATTATTGTGTGTATATGTAAAAAAAAAACGATGTGACATTCTATATATACATGATTTGTGCATTTTCAACAGGTGGCGTGAATAAGTGGGAAAATGCAGTTTTGATATAAAGTACAGTACCCATGCATTAAGCATGCAGGGCCAATACACATCCTAGCTACAGGAATTTTAAGCATACTGTAAATTCATTAAAGCAAAATTAAAATCATTATTTTTACCTTTTAAGATTTTTATTTAGTTATACATCACTGACAAGCTGCACTAGACATCAAACAAACATAAAACACTGACGTTAAAAACCAATTTGAATAGTTCTTAATGTAGAAAAATAACAACCTGGAAAATCAATGAAGTCCTTGCACTCGCTCTAACACAAACAATCATTCCCGAAACACATCTATACAATTATCCAGATACATCCTACTTTTAAAGATGTCAAGTATATTTTGTACAAGTGTACATGGCCTACTGAGAGGCAAGAAGTTACGAAAATCTTTTAAAATATCTCATGATGTTATTGCTCGGGAGCATGGCACCTGGATGCTGCTGTTGTGCTACGGCTACTCAGTGGGTCGCATCCCTCCCTCCACCGCCACTTCCACTGACTGATGATAATGATCGCCGTATTACTGTGCCTCCAACAGTTCTCCACCAGGCCCGGAACCCTTGGCTTCGGCTGGGATCATAGAAAAGATCTTGATATTTAAGAGTATACTGTATAAGATTACTAGTATCAATGGCATGAGACCAAATGGACACTTAGATCACATTTTTAAGGAGTTGTGGTAGTTGCAGTGGGGGATTAAGTCTTATGTGACACTTTGGGGAACTTGTGGCATGCCCAGGGTTCTGGACAGCAGCGTTGTGACGCGTGTTGGTGCAGCATTAGAAGCCGTGCACCTTTATTTGCTCGGCCTTCACTAGCCCCACTTTGGTCAGGAACTGGCAAATATTTTCTCGCTGGTCACCTTGCAGCTGCAACACCTGTCAACAAGTCAATTTGTTAGATTTTTATGTATAAAAATACATTTACTGTCATTACAGAAAGATAATGTATAAAATATTCCCACAAATGGTGTCAAAACCTAAAGGAACCTTGCAAACACAATTACAGTAACATTAGCATAACCTCAACATGTCTTCACTATTTAAACTGCAGCATTTTAGAATTAACCATAACATTTCAAGCATTCTTATTTGCCTTGAAAACCAGTAGTCCTGTCAAGATTTGAAAACTCAAAAGACAAGATATTTACCATAAAATACTGTTTTTATCAAGCAGGTTATCCAACATTTTGTGAGCTCAGTTTTTTTGGGGAATTTATCAAAATGGTAACATTTTCTTATTGCAGATGGACCCATTGCCAAATATCATGAACACACCAGGTGCATCTTATTCTTTTTAAGAATACTGTACTTTCTTTGTACCAACTACAAATCCTTCCAGTGTATATTTTAAATCAATGTAAAAGCTCTAATATTTAAACTATTTGGATGGATGTAGCTTACAATACTTACACAATGTTTAAACACCTATACAGATTTTGACTACTTCCTTACATTTCTTAATTTAACCCTTAAATGGAGCATGGCTATATACCATTTGACACCCACAGGCGTATAAACAACAAAATTATATATTTTTTCTTCCTAACCTGTTAATTTGTGTTCACTGATCATGGGAAAAATAATAACAAAATCGCAAGTGGCATATAATGCCAGCTATAGGGCGGGGAAGTCTGGCAAAAAACAGGCGCTGTCTCAGTGTGCGTCCCAGGCGGTCTGTTGATCGCCAGCTGTCAGGCCGGAGTTTCCACAAAGAGATAATTACCTAATTATTTCAATGTCTCTGATTGATTTTTCGTAGTTTTTCTTGCTGTAATATTATTCAATAGTGTGTAGTGTGATATATTTATATAATAAAATGAGTGAATCATCGCTGTACTCAAAAATATGGTTATCTTGAGATGATTTCGGGGCTTTTTAGTGTCCCCACGGCCCGGTCCTCGACCAGGCCTCCACCCCCAGGAAGCAGCCCGTGACAGCTGACTAACACCCAGGTACATATTTACTGTTAGGTAACAGGAGCATTCAGGGTGAAAGAAACTTTGCCCATTTGTTTCTGCCTCGTGCGGGAATCGAACCCGCGCCACAGAATTACGATTCCTGCGCGCTATCCACCAGGCTACGAGGCCGATGGTGTGCATATTGTTGATTCAATTATGTTCATCAAACAGTGAACAAATACTTTGTCGGCTATTACACTGTATACACAGGTTATATATAAGTATCTGCATGTTTTGTTCACCATAATGAACCACTAAGTTGCTATTATGAGTCAAAAAGTAACAAGGAGTGACCGCCGAGTACCAGCCAGCCACCCACTCACTCCCTCAACACCTCACTCGCCCACATTTTCCTCCCACAATACTGTTTTTGCTTTTATTCACTATATACAGACGTTATATATAAGTATCTACATTCGTGTTCACCATAACGAACCACTAAGTTGGTATGCTGAGTGGCAGTGGCAGTGCCACTGGCTGCTACTTCCTCCCTCCCTCAACTCACCTGACTCACCCACATTCTCCTCCCACAATACTGTTTTTGCTTTTATTCACTATATACAGAGGCTATATATAAGTATCTACATTCGTGTTCACCATAACGAACCACTAAGTTGGTATGCCGAGTGGCAGTGGCAGCCCGCCACTGGCTGCCACTTCCTTCCTCCCTCACCTCACCTGACTTGCCACCATTCTCCTCCCACCATACTGTTTTTGCTTTTATATACAGACATTATATATAAGTACTTACATGTTTTGTTCACCATAACTGTACATTTAAGCTTGTATGGTAAGTAAAGGAACAAAGACGTAGCTACTCACACAGTCAGCTGATGGCTACCGACTTCAAGGCCAGACGCACTAATATTTCTCCTCCAACTATACCATTTGTGGTGTTATTACGCTATATACACACATTTTTATTAAATAACTACCTGTTTTATTCACCATACTTGTACAAGTAAACTGGTTTGGTGCCCAAAGACCATCGTGGTCACCAGTAAACAACATGATAAGTCATGCAGATGATGCCACCGCCCTCACCAAAATGGTGGCTCCCAACCACCTACTATTGCTGTTTATACCCTCTATACACACGTTATATATAAGCATCTACATTTGTGTTCACCATAGCAAACCACTAAGCTGGTATGGTGAGTGCAGTCAATAAAAGGTGGCCACACAGAATCAGAAGATGATGCCACCTCCCTCCCTCAGCATTACTCCTCCCACCATGGAGCACAGCACTAAATATCACCACAATTCTGCTATTATCAGAATCCTGATCAGTTTGATCCCAGTCAGGGGTCTTCTGTAATACTATCATCGCTAAAGCATTTACATATATATTTTGACTTTTTAGGCGATGCTGTGCTCACAAGCTGAACAGCAGTGCTGTGAGCTCATGCTGCATGCACTAGCTTTGGTGGCTCACTCAGTACTGAGGGAGGCTCTCACACCCGGGAATGTTGCCCACGATTTTTTTTCTAGGTGGCGTCTGTTAACTATCGGCCTTGGCTGGACTATAGCTGCCCCTATCCCTCACAGGACTTACCATACCAGCTTAGTGGTTCGCTATGGTGAACACAAATGTAGATACTTATATATAACCTGTGTATAGAGTGTAATAACAGCAATAGGAGTAGGTTGGGAGCCGCCATTTTGGTGATGGAGGAGCGTCGTCTGCATGTATGTTGTGTACTGGTGGCCACTATGGTCTTTGGGCACCATACCAGCTTATTTGTAGTCATGGTGAATAAAACATGTAGATCACACTACACACTATTGAATAATATTACTGCAAGAAAACAAGGAAAAAATCAATCGGAGACATTGAAATAATTAGGTAATAGTACCTTTGTAGCAACTCCTGCCTGACAGCTTGGGTGGAGCAGACCTCGTTTGGCACCTGCTCTGTCAACGCCTCTTTTTTGGCCAAACTTCCCCGCCCTATTACGGCAAAAATATGCCACCTACAATTTTTTTCCCCGTGATCAGGGAACACAAATGAACACTTTTATAAGACGAAAGAATTTTTTTGAATCTTTTTTTTTTGTTGCGCCTGTGGGTGTTGAAGGCCAAAAGACCCTTAGTGGCTTAAGGGTTAAATTACTTAACAGTTGCCAGTGTAGGATCGTGACTTAGGTATTGCCAGTGGGTAGGATCTTAGTACTTTTGGTGAATATCATCAATTGTAATTTAATAACCTCATGTTAATAAATTTCCATCTGTATGTGTCACTTGGGTCCCTTGTTGTCATCTACCTTGTAATCATGGACCTTGAACCTCCCCCAAACTCTCCAATATCAGATTGTTTGATCAGTCAGTCAGGGATTACATCAAAAGAAGGTACTTTTCAGTTCAACATGGGTTCTTGTCACAGTGCTGTATATGTTTTACAATTGTATTAAGACAGGATGGTGGCAGCATTAGTTAATAAGCTTTCTCTGTTTAACCACCAATGTTATACAATATTTCAGTTCACATTTCACTGAATATTTTAGCAAGTGTTATAAAATATTAGTGTTACTAAGTGATACATTTTACCAAGTGTTACAAGAATATGAATGTCTAGACATGTAATTAGCATGCAGGTATAAAGCTAGGAGACAGAGCACAGCTGTCTCACTTCCCCAGTCACATAAATAGGTGCCACTACCCGCCAAACACACACCGAAACTACGACGTTGGTACAACGTTCCAACAAGTTTTAACACCTCCTAACCAGTTATAACAACCAATATAGCAAGTTGTAACAACGTTCTAATACGTTATAAACACGTTAAGCCAAGATGTAACAACTTTATTACAAGCTGTAACAAGCTGAAAATAAGAGACAGTTTCGGTTTTTGTTTCCAGGATACTGCCACCATTACTACCTTTAGTTCTGTGACATCATCACAATAATTAAGAGAAACAAGGCTGGATAGATTATTTTCTAAGGCAAGATAAAAGGTAAGACTGAACAAGGTAAGATTACATAACAGACAAGAAAGCTGGTTAGTCAGGAATGTGCATTCTTACACACATCAGTTCGCAAATATCAGAACTATTGAGGAAAGGAATACGAAGTGTTGCAAGAAGACCTTGACAAACGGCTATGAACAGGAACATGTCACATTGGCTTTCAGGCTGGGAAGCTACACTCATTATTCAATGTAATCAATTATTCTACTTGTAGCCTGACAAGTGGATGAATGTACAGCATAATGATAAAAAGGATTAATCAATAACTCTTCGTCCCTTGGTGGCAAATTTTTTTTCCAATTGCTTATGCTACCTATGTATTGAAAATGGTTATTATTCTTTCAAGCTTTGCTTCGACCTTTGCCCTTAAGCTGCTAAGGCTTGAAGGTTACATGAAGGTTGCCAACACCTTATCATGAGCTGTGATATTGTCACGGCTCTAGATAACGCGTCAGCAGTTTTGAAACCATCGTCAAGATATCTTCCATAAAGGCAAAGTCGAAGTAAAGCTTGGGAGGAATAAGCACCATTTTCTATACTTTGGAGGCAAAAGCAATTAGAAAATAACATTATCCAGCACTAAAAATGGTTACATACTGTAATTTATACCCAGTTGATTTGATGAATCAAATATACTTCTCCCAACAAAATTATTGTTAAATTAAAAACTAGTTTTTACATTGTAAACCATCCACCCACATATACACACTTCCTCAATATTAATGAAATTCTATCAAGAACAAGTAATAATACTTTTATAATTATTGCTGTAGAGATCTAGCAAATGTCAACTTTATATAGGGTCCAGAACAGACAAAACACTGTCACTTATTTCACGTGTGGGGGTTAGGCTTTGATTTGGCCACATTGCAACGTTCTCTGCAAGAGACCTGGTTATACCACAAATATATTCCACCCCCTCTCACCTGGGAAGATACAATGACAAACAGGTCCATCAGACTGATGCTCCTGTCACCACTGACAAACATCAGTAACACTACATGCGACCCCCAGTGAAAATGATGGCAGGAGCGCGCACAAAAAATTTGCTATGAAAATAATAGGTTCATTTATGATGTAATGGACAGGCAAAATTGTGGGTTAACCCAACTTAAGATAAGGTGACATGAATATTAGTTAAAAAACAATGTACATTATAAGAAATTAAATTTTGCCCATGCACAATCAAGGAAAATTAATACCTGTATTAACATTTCATCAAATCTCTAATTTAAAGTAAAATATTGTACAAGCTGTTGCTATCATCATGAACTTTAAAATATTTCAACTACTGTTAATAAGCTTGCAAATTGCTAAATCTTACATTTTCATACTCATTAAAAAATATAATATTTAAAAAACTTACTTCACCGTATTCGGGGTGTTCAACCACTGTGCCGTTGCATGCAAATTCCTTCTTGCAAGCACGGACAATTTTCTTCAGATCATAGTCTGAAGACAGACCCTGCACCGTAGTGAGTGTCTTTCGGCCATTGCGCTGCTGGATTCTGCAAAATATCAATATTTATATTAATAGCGTATTTCAGATTTTTTTAATTGTAGCTATTTGAGGATAGTTAAAATCCCAACCCCCTATACCTCCACCTCTTGAAATACAGTACCAACAATATTTCAAGACTCTTCCAAGTGATTGGGCACCAATCATACACTCCGACCTTGTATCCCTTCCAAGTACTTCACAGGTACAGGTAGTCATACAGACTTAGTGAAATATACTGTACTGAAAATTACCTTACCTGCATTACTTTGGGTAGAAGTAGGAGTGTGAGTGGGGTGATTATGGGGGTAGGTATTGAGAATAGGTTTAGGGAAGGGGGGGGGGGGGAGTATATCTGCCCCAGCTGAGCCATTCCATGCCTAATAAACCCTCAAACCGACCATCTCAAGAGTTGCATGAAATCTGGTAGGATGTTATCCAGCACTATAAAATTATAGTGCACGAAGTAATAGACACATGCAAAATTTGAGCCGTCGGTGCTGCATGATATTCATACAACAGAGTTAGCAATGTGAACAAACACACATACTACTTACAAGCTCAACAAAAAGAAACTCATAGCGGATTTGAATTGAGGGAAGCCTTCATGTTGGCCTTGTTTTAACCCTTGTGTTGTTCAGGGGTAACTAGCATTTGTCACCCACAGGCGCATACCAAAAAACAAAACAAAAAACGGTCTGTTGCTCGCCAGCTGTCAGGCAGGAGTGGCAACAAAGAGATAATTACCTAATTATTTCAATGTCTCTGATTGCTCGTAGTTCTTTTGCTATAATATTATTCAATAGTGTGTAGTGTGATATATCTATATAATAAAATGAGTGAATCATCGCTGTACTAAAAAATATGGTGTGCATATTGTTGATTCAATTATGCTCATCAAACAGTGAACAAATACTTTGTCGGTTATTATACTATATACACAGGTTATATATAAGTATCTGCATGTTTTGTTCACCATAATGAACCACTATGATGGTATTATGGGTCAAAAAGCAACGAGGAGTGACCGCCACACACCAGCCAGCCACTCGCTGCCACTCACTCAACACCTCACTTGCCCACATTCTCCTCCCACCATACTGTTTTTGCTTTTATTCACTATATACAGGCGTTATATATATGTATCTACATTCGTGTTCACCATAACGAACCACTAAGTTGGCATGCTGGGTGGCAGTGGCAGCCCGCCACTGGCTACTACTTCCTCCCTCCCTCCCTCAACTCATCTGACTCCCTACATTCTCCTCCCACAATACTGTTTTTGCTTTTATTCACTATATACAGACGTTATATATAAGTATCTGCATGTTTTGTTCACCATAACTGTACAACTAAGTTGATATAGTAAGTTCAGGCACCAAGAGACGTCGCTACAGTCAGGTGGCGGCTGCTTCCCTCATACATTCAAGGTCAGCCGCACTAAAATTTCACCCCCAACAATACTGTTTGTGGTGTTATTACCCTATATACAGACATTATATACAAGTATCTACATGTTTTGTTCACCATAACTGTTCAACTAACTCGGTACAATGCCCAAAGAGCATAGTGGCCACCCCTACCAACATGACAAATCATGCAGATGTTGCCACACCCATCACCAAAATGGCTTCTCCCCCACACTCCTTTTGCCGTTATTACATTGTATATACACGTTATATATAAGTATCTACATTCGTGTTCACTATAATGGACCACTAAGTTGGTATGCCGAGTGGCAGTGGCAGCCAGTGGCAGCCTGGCTCTAGCTGCCACTCCCTCCCTCCCTCCCTCATCTCACCTGACTCGCCACCATTCTTCTCCCACCATACTGTTTTTGCTTTTATATACAGACATTATATATAAATATCTGCATGTTTACCATATTGAACAACTAAGCTGGTACAGTGAGTCCAGACAGTAAAAGGTGGTCACACAGAGTCAGCAGACAATGCTACCTTCCCTCCCCACCAAGATTACTCCTCCAACTACAGCACTAATTATCACAACAATCCTGCTATTATCAGAATCCTGGTCATTTTTAACAGTCAGGGGTTTTCTGTAATAATATCATCACTAAATAATAGCATGAACATGTATATTATGGCATTTTTAGGCAATGCTGTGGTCACAAGCTGAACAGCAGTGCTGTGAGCTCATGCTGCGTGCATCAAGCTTGGTGGCTCACTCAATACTGAGGCCCCTCACACCCGGGAATTTGGCCCATGTTTTTTTTTTAAATGGCGTCTGTTTACAAGTCCTGATGAAGGTGTGGTGAACCCCGTGTATTCGCGGGCCGTTTAAATCTTGTGTAGTATTCCAATACATTATATGATGGGATGCGCAATTCATAGCAAGTCACTCAACCCATCACATGATGTGTTGCGCAACTTAAGGGTTAAGGGGGCGTATTACGGAAAAAAGTGATAAATGAAAACTGGTTCGATTTCAATCAAACCAACTTAAGGGTTAAGGGGGCGTATTACGGAAAAAAGTGATAAATGAAAACTGGTTCGATTTCAATCAAACTTTTTTGACTAGTTGTATATAAAATTTGGTTCAACTGGCCCTAGTCTCAGCATCGTAGCATAAAATAGAAAGAGAGGAAAAAATATTGAAGTCAAAATTTTTCCAAAATGGTAAAAAATTCACATCAAACAAAAGTGTCAACTGTAATCATGTCTATGACTAAGCTATCACAATAGCATATAATAAAGTATTTTAATATTTAATTTTATGCCCAAAAATTAAAAAAAAAATCGAATGTTTTTCTCATTTTTTATCAGCCGATTTGCATGAAACTTATACACCTTACAGAACATAAGCCTATCTATAAGGGTGCAAATTTTGGAGGAAAGACTTCAACCACAGGTGGCAGAATGTCTGATCTCATTTATTGTCAAGTAACAAAATTAACTCTCCTCTCATTTTTTTTCAACTTATATGAAATTTACACCTTATATGTAGAGTTAACGTCTGTAATAAACTTATAGAATACTTTATTCCTAAGTTCATTTATTGACTTTACAAATATCTGCAAACATGAAATATTGGCATATATTTTTGGGAACTTTGACTACTTGTATTAGTAAAACTAAAAATTTTAGATAATCCTTTTTATACAAATTCTTTATTATATGCTAATGTAATAGATGAATGTCATAGAAATGATTTAATATGAAATTGTGGTTGTAGAGTTTTATTGAAAATGTTTAAAATTCATTGAAAAAAAAAAAAAAAAAAAAAAACTCCCTTTCTATTTAGGGTGCGATACTGAAACGTCGAACAGTTGCAGCCCTTTTTATATACAACTAGTAAAAAAAGTTTGGTTGACCTTGAAAATAAGAAAACGTAATATTTAAAAAAATAATTAATGAAAACAGTGCTTCCTTGGCTTCAAAACAAGCACAATATGAATTATAGTAGTTTTGAGCTTCTAAACAAAATCGTTTATATTTTTCCACAATGACATCCCTGCTATATGAATGTCGTGCATTGATGAGCACCAAAATTTTACACGTTTTAGATTCAGCTACTCAACAAAAACTTCCAAAGCAGCAAGGGTTGTGATGAGCCCGTAGTACTCACCTGACACAGATGTGTGTTTTGCATATGTAACTTCATATCCTCTATCATCCTACCAAATATCATGAAAATAAGAGATGGGTGGGTTGAAAATCTTTTTTTTTTTTTTATATGATTTTTTGCCAACAACCACCACCTGTTGGATGTAATCACCCAACAGGTGGTGATTACGCAAATTTGTTTTTGTTCATGGTTAGTGAGCGTTTTCTGATTACTATTATTCCAAAGTTGCTATATCCAAAGTATAGAAATTCGCTATTATTCCCCCTCAAGCTTTGTTTTGACCTTTGCTTCAGACAACCTGGGGAATGTGACTTGAAGGTACCTAAAGGTTACAGACTTATGAAAATGTGTAACAGCTTTAGATAAGGAGAAGGCAGCCTTCAGTTACCTTCCCGATATCTTTCCTAAGATGTCCGAGGCAAAGGCCAAAGCAATGTTTGAGGGGATTGATAGCAGTTTTCTACACTTCGGATGTATGAGCAATAGAAAAACACTCACCAACCAGGAACAAGAATTCTTATGCTGTGTTATTAACCTCTGAATTGTACTCACCTAGTTGTGCTTGTGGGAGTAGAGCTTTGGCTCTTTGGTCCCACCTCTCAACTATCAATCAATTGGTGTACAGTATTGGTGTACCGAGATAAAACACCTAAATTTTTGGGATCGTCTCAAAGCTCTCCAAATGTACTCTCTAGAAAGGAGACGAGAGATACCAAATAATATACACACGGAAAATATTGGAGGGCCAGGTCCCAAATCTACACAGTAAAATAACGTACTGGAGTGAATGATATGGAAGAAAATGCAGGATTGAACCAGTGAAGAGCAGAGGTGCCATAGGCACAATCGGAAAACACTGTATAAACATCAGAGGTCCGCAGTTGTTCAACGTCCTCCCAGCGACTAAGAAATATTGCCGGAACAACTGTGGACATCTTCAAGAGAAAACTGGACTGTTTTCCAAGAGAAGTTCCAGACCAGCCGGGCTGTGGTGGGCATGTGGGCCTGCGGGCCGCGCCAAGCAACAGCCCAGTGGACCAAACTCTCACAAGTTGAGCCTGGCCTTAGGCCAGGCCAGGCTTAGGGAGTAGAAAAACTCCCAGAACCCCCATCAAGCAGGTATTCCTGAGCCTATTTGGTTCTATCAAATCAACATTTGAAACTGTGTATGGAGTCTGCCTCCACTACATCACTGCCTAATAAATTCCAGTTGTTAACTACTCTGACAATGAAAAAATTCTAATGTGTGTGTGGCTCATTTGGGCACTCTTACAGTTTCCACCTGTGTCCCCTTGTTCGTGTTCCACCCGTGCTAAAGAGTATGTCTTTGTCCACCCTGTCAATTTCCCTGAGAATTTTGTAGGTGGTTATCATGTCTCCCCTTACCCTTGTTTCCCAGGGACGTGAGGTTCAGCTCTCTTAGCCTTTCCTCGTAGCTCATACCTCTCAGTTCCAGGACTAGTCTGGTGGCATACCTCAATCTTCTCTAACTTTGTCTTGTGTTTAACCAGGTATGGACTAATAACTGTAGTTACTAATAATTCTGTACGGACTAAGTAACTGTGTAGTTACTTAGACGTCATTGAGGTGTATGACTAAAAACAGTCAATATATCAAATGGGGAAAATGTAAAATGGTGAGTGGAAGGGATAAAATCATTCTAAAATCTGTCACAAAGGTGCTAAATGGTCATATGCAAACATTGTTTCTTACACTACCACATAATCCAACATAAAGGCATTCTCAACATACAACAGACACCACATTAAAAAAAAGTTAATAAATGAATTCAGTGTAAGCTTGAAGTTCTCTTCAGAGGACCCCTAATAATGGTTCTGTCATGCAACATTGCCCAATATCCTTCAGGTGATCCAAAGAAAGGGGTTATATCATTTTACACTGCTCAATATGCCCCAAGGGCTCCCTAGGAAGGGTTCAAGCATACTTACAGTGCTCAATATTCTTCACGAATTCCCAAGAAAAGGTTCTGGAAGCGGAGGTACTACCCAATAAGTATAGCAAACTCGATTTTATGATCATATGATTTTTATGATCATCTACTTTGTAGAACTCAAGTCACTGCCGTAAAGCACTCAAGATACTCCCAAGAAATAATGCAGACTAATATTAAATAGTGCAGTGCAGTACTCCGTGAAGGGTAACAAATTAACATGACCAAACACCCTGTTTTCATTCCTTTGGATTACAGTATTTGTAGCACTTTGTAACAATCCCAACCCAGAAGCATTTTCACATACAAAATTACAATTTGATCTATTAATGTACTGTACAGCGGATACTGAACCATACCTTATATGCACAAGGCCATCCTGGACACCCTCGTCTGTCCCACGTGCTGCATCAGCAAAGGGGTCTGTAATGAAATATACAAATTAGATTAAATTAAATCATGGGTAAAATTTTGCATTTGGCAGTGCCTCTGACTCCAATAGAATTTTTCACTACCTTTTCTAACATCCAACTGCTTGCACAATTTTAAGGTTGTCACCTTGGACCTGAACTGCCCATCCACCCCACAAATATAATAATTTATAAAACATACAATTAGCCTAAAATAGTGCTTTACAGGCCAATAATGAAATGACAAGCTGTCTTGATAAAACAACATTTGTTCTATGTGAAATAAAATACAGTATAGAACAACATACTGTACTGTACTTTGATTTTCAAGTGCCTTCATGATTGAACTTTCTTGAATTACTCTTATGAATTTTTAATTTGCACACCATACTGTTTTTGCTTTGTTGACCAAACCATACACTAGAAAGTGAAGGGATGATGACGTTTCGGTCTGTCCTGGACCATTCTCAAGTCGATTGTGATGAGGAGGGGAGGAGTTAAAGGCAATAAATAGACAAGAGAGAGGTGAGAAGAAAATCTTAAGAGGAAGAAAAGCAAGGCAAAACGTACGAAAGATAAGGTGAAATAAAGGTTATAGTAATAGGAATAAGAACATACACCATCAAGAATCCTCCATAAAGGTAAGATAAATATATGTACTGTATTGTAGTTAGAGAAAACAAATTGTATTCAGTATAAAATGTACAGTATTTGTAAATTAATACTTTGGAGGATGGAGAACGGATTAATTCAATTCCCTTTACTTGTATTTCTTATAGGAAAAATCGCTTCGACTTACGATCCGTCTCTGGGAATGGATTACCATCGTAAATTGAGGTCCCACTGTACATAACACAAATAATAATGAGTATGTTATTATGCTCTATTTTGTTATATATCATACAAATACTGTACACTGTCCAATGGTAATACCTCTTACTTTCCCCAATATCCACAATTTTTTTTTTAGGGGAGATTTTTTATTTTTTGTTATTTTTTCTTCTTTATTTATTATCTGATTTTGTTGTAACCTCAACATCTTGGAGAATGCATATCTGTTCCTAACTACGTGAAGATAGAATTAAATTAGTCAACAAATAAATGTCATAACTGGCAGAACTTGGGACTGAATTTTTTGGCTGATTTTTTTCACAGATTTCAAACTATTTTCCTTGTTTCTTTAGATTGTTTTGATGATTAGGGCCCAGATTAGGACTTTTTGACTTACATAAAGCATACCCTAAACATAGCCCCTAAATTATTATAATTATCACTATATTTTGTTTTGTGGTGGTTATTTTTTCTTGACTTCAACACATGTTGACCTACGAATGTACGAATGTCAAGCAATGCTTATTAAAACATGCTATTAAATTAATGAATTAGAACTACCTTATACATTGTCGATAACTTCAACTTCAATTATCTCTAAAACAAGAGTTTCAACATAGAGCCAGCTTAAAAAAATCCAGTTTCTGAACGATTCTAACCATTTTTACATATTTTTTTATGTACGATTTTCTAGCCATTTAGTGTGCCACTGTCTGTTCTACAATCCTATTAGAATGGATTTTTCATAAACTAAACATTTAGAGTTATAAATTTTGTTGTCTGAATTTGGTGCATATTTCAAATGCCATATTGACAATTTTTTTTACAGTAAACTAAACTGAAAATCTATATTCTGAATCTATTAAAATGATGATCATATACTATTCTGAGAGCATAACAACACTTAATGAACAATTGGTGATATTTAATATTTTTGCAGCTGATCTGAAAATCTAAATTTTTCAATATTAAATTTTATAATTATTTTTAATTTACTGTACTTGTTTTTCAAGTTATGTTGGTGATCATTTAGACAAAGTTGGAGTGTTTGACTAGTAAATTACCCACAAAAATTGGAAAGCGTTAAAACAAGTTTGAAAAATTTAACTTGTGGTACCATCGGATCCTGTCGTATATAAAGTATACGCCATGCGCAGTTTAATGGTTAAGACTTTGGATTGGATTTCGTTAACACCTGGGGTTTTTGAGTCTTAGTTTGTCAAAGTTCTTTCTAATTATTTCACGTTATAGGCATATCCTTAAATTCATTCTCCTCTCCTCCTTCAAACATTTGTGTGGGTGATGGGAAACCATCCAACCTTTCAAGTGTGAACACTTATGCAAAATAATCATTTAGTGTGTTTGCTGCCCTTTTATCATCCATTATAGCTTGGTTAGTCTCATCTATTAAGGGCCCAACTGAGTCCTCTGTTTTTGTTTTACCTCTAATATAGGCATAGAACAATTTTGGATCTTTATGTTTTGGGCAAGTTTTTTTTGTAGTTTCTTTTGGCTGATCTGATTTTATGAGTAGCCGAGTTTAGTGCCCTTTTGTATAACTCGTGAACAATGATGTCCATCGTAGATTTATATGTTCTCCAGAGGTTCCACTTGGTTACCAATGCTCGTTTTACGACCTGTCGACCATCTAGTTCCCGTTCTTGTCCTTCTTCCTTTCAGCACATTTTTGAACGAGTTCCGTGATGATCCTCTTGAAATTTTGTCGTGATGCTTCACGTGCTATGGTTGCCCATCAGCTCCCTCCTGGAGATGGTTTGCAGTTCCTCTCACATTACTTGATAGCCACCTTGTTGGTAATCTAGAAATTCATCATCTTTGACCTTTATGTGGATTTCTATGTTCATAGTCCATCCTAAAATATGAGTCACACGAGGTGGTTACCTTTTTCCCCACATGAATATGATCAAACATATCCCCTTTTCTGTTGTCAGCACAAGCTCTGGTATGCTATCACAACGTATGGGCTCTACCACATGCAATCCTGCATGAGGACGAGAAATTGCTCACCTGCTTGAGATGTTAGGTTAATTCAATCTATGGTCTTGTGGTTAAAAGTCCCCCATTATTAAGGTTTGGGTTTCAAATGTCACACTGATCACATGATGCAGATCCGCAGTTTCCTCTGCCACTGCTGTGTCAGTCCTGTAGTATACTCCAAATGTCATTTTCACATACCAAGTCCTCTTTCACATACAGCATCACCCCCATCCCCCACCTGCTCTTGTTGTTCTACTTGATACTTGCTTGATGGGTTTCTGGGAGTTCTTCTACTCCCCAAGCCCGGCCCAAGGCCAGGCTTGACTTGTGAGTTTGGTCCACCAGGCTGTTGCTTGGAGCGGCCCGCAGGCCCACATACCCACCACAGCCCAGTTGGTCCGACACTCCTTGGACCAATTTCCAGCCCAACCACTTGGGTTGGACAGTAGAGCAACGGTCTCACTTCATGCAGGTCGGCGTTCAATCCCTGACCGTCCAAGTGTTTGGGCACCATTCCTCCCCCCTGTCCCATCCCAAATCCTTATCCTGGCCTCCTTCCCAGTGCTTTAGTCGTCATGGCTTGGGACTTTCCCCTTGATAAATCCCTCTCTCCCTTCCTCTTCAAGATGTCCACGGTTGTTCGGCAATATTTCTTATGCTCGCTGGGGGGATGTTGAACAACCGTGGACCTCTGATGTTTATGCAGCATTCTCTGATTGTTCAGTTCTTTCTGAATGGTGGGTGGTATCCTGGGAGATAGAATTTTCCTTTCTGGTACTGTATGGTACCATATAGTGGTACTGTATGGGGTCATTCCAAAAAACAAAGGTCTCCAAGGTTACATTAGTAATGAATATACAAGTTAGGATCTATTCGTGGAGCCCAGTCTCTCTAGGTTTCATTCTTTGTGTTTGTGGGACTATACAAAATTTACTCTTCATTGGTTAGAGGTTTCAATATTCAACTCTACTACCCTCCAGGTCATTCCATCTCAAATCACCAAAAAGACACTTATGGCTCCCACTCGACCCTCTCCAAATGCCATGAAATTTTGTAGTAAGATAGCCCTAGACCCCAAATGACACTTTGCAAAATATTAGAGCTCAATCTGCTTTGGTTCTTAAATAACAGGTCCATATTGAATGGGCCCTCGTCCCGTTAATGCGTAAACACCACAAAAATTACCAACTTTGACCCTTTGTTAAATCACGACTAGTGCCCAGAGGTGTGAAATTCGGCATACTGTACCAGGGCAACTTTTGGTGCAGAATACAACACAGTGTAATAAAAAATGTAGTTTGGGTAGCCATTCAGCTATCAATCCATGTTAATATCACTGCCAATATATCTCAAAATATCTCAATATGAATCATTCCCAATTTGGTTTTGAATGACACCATTGGATAGAGCAGATTTTTCTGTACAAGAGTAACTTTTATTTAGGTTGGGATCTGAATTCCTAGTTCAGCCAGAAGACTTTGAAAATGACATACCTTGGTGCGATATCGAAAAAATCAAATTAGGATTCTCCATCTTCTTTGTGCACTGATCATGACTGCTAGCAAATTGATATCCAAACTGATTGGAAAAATTTTAAGCTTCATTGGGTAGAACATTTTTGAGTGGGATTCAGAATTATTATTAAACAATCAGTACTATTTTTGGTTCCTGTTCTATATTCATCTTTACATCGTGTCAGCAGGTCAAACATTGCTGTTTACTTATTTGTGCATTTACCTGCAATAAATGCACAAATAAATAAAAAGCAATATTAATATTAATGTATTACTTGAAATTACTGTATTCAGTTAGTTAAATAATTTGAATTGAATTCGATTACGGATACGTCATGAATCAGGATTCCATTGGTTTATTGCCATGTGCTATTGCTAGCCATGAGCGTGGCTCTTCTGAATGTCACTTGACAACCTACACTTTCAACAAAGGCTTGAAGTTTCTAAAACAGTATAATGCAGAAGATAAAAACCTGATAGCAAAGCGAAGTGAACTGAACTTGGTAACTGTCCACGGTCCATTTGGTCCACGGTAATATTTCTTATAGTCGCTGGGAGGACGTTGAACAACCACGGACCTCTGATGTTCATACAGTGTTCTCTGTGCCTATGGCACCTCTGCTCTTCACTCTTTCTATTCTGCATTTTCTTCCATGTCGTTCACTCCAGTACGTTGTTATTTTACTGTGTAGATTTGGGACCTGTCCCTCCAGTATTTTCCATGTGTATATTATTTGGTATCTCTCTCGTCTCCTTTCTAGAAGTACATTTGGAGAGCTTTGAGACGATCCCAATAATTTAGGTGTTTTATCTTGTCTATGCGTGCCGTATATGTTCTCTGTATTCCCTCTATTTCAGCAATCTCTCCTGCTCTGAAGGGGGAAGTGAGTACTGAGCAGTACTCGAGACGGGACAACACAAGTGACTTGAAGAGTACAACCATTGTGATGGGATCCCTGGATTTGAAAGTTCTCGTAATCCATCCGATCATTTTTCTGGCTGACGCAATATTTCCTTGGTTATGCTCCCTGAACGTTAGGTCGTCGGACATCATTATTCCCAAATCCTTGACATGCTGTTTTTCTACTATGGGAAGATTCGATTGTGTTTTGTACCCTGTATTATGTTTCAGATCCTCATTTTTGCCGTACCTGAGTACCTGAAATTTATCACTGTTAAACCCCACCCTGGGTCCCAGGGCACCCCCACCCCGGGTCCCACGGCACCCCCACCCCGGGTCCCACGGCACCCCCACCCCGGGTCCCACGGCACCCCCACCCCGGGTCTCACGGCACCCCCCACCCCGGGTCCCACGGCACCCCCACCCCGGGTCCCACAGCACCCCACACTCCCAGGACCCACGGCACCCCTCCCCGAATCCCACGGCACCCCCACCCCGAATCCCACGGCACCCCCACCCCGGGTCCCACGGCTCCCCCACCCCGAATCCCACGGCACCCCCACCCCGGGTCCCACGGCTCCCCCACCCCGGGTCCCACGGCACCCCACACTCCCAGGGCCCATGGCACCCCACACTCCCAGGGCCCACGGCACCCCCACCCCGGGTCCCACGGCACCCCCACCCCGGGTCCCACGGTACCCCCACCCCGGGTCCCACGGCACCCCCACCCCGGGTCCCACGGCACCCCCACCCCGGGTCCCACGGCTCCCCCACCCCGGGTCCCACGGCTCCCCCACCCCGGGTCCCACGGCACCCCCACCCCGGGTCCCACGGCACCCCCTCCCCGGGTCCCACGGCACCCCCTCCCCGGGTCCCACGGCACCCCACACCCGGGTCCCACGGCACCCCACACCCCGGGTCCCACGGCACCCCCACCCCGGGTCCCACGGCACCCCCACCCCGGGTCCCACGGCACCCCCACCCCGGGTCCCACGGCACCCCCACCCCGGGTCCCACGGCTCCCCCACCCCGGGTCCCACGGCACCCCCACCCCGGGTCCCACGGCACCCCCCCCCCGGGTCCCACGGCACCCCCACCCCGGGTCCCACGGCTCCCCCACCCCGGGTCCCACGGCTCCCCCACCCCGGGTCCCACGGCTCCCCCACCCCGGGTCCCACGGCACCCCCACCCCGGGTCCCACGGCACCCCCACCCAGGGTCCCACGGCACCCCCACCCCGGGTCCCACGGCACCCCCACCCCGGGTCCCACGGCACCCCCACCCAGGGTCCCACGGCACCCCCTCCCCGGGTCCCACGGCACCCCCACCCCGGGTCCCACGGCACCCCCACCCCGGGTCCCACGGCACCCCCTCCCCGGGTCCCACGGCACCCCCACCCCGGGTCCCACGGCTCCCCCACCCAGGGTCCCACGGCACCCCCTCCCCGGGTCCCACGGCACCCCCTCCCCGGGTCCCACGGCACCCCCTCCCCGGATCCCACGGCACCCCCTCCCCGGGTCCCACGGCACCCCCTCCCCGGGTCCCACGGCTCCCCCACCCAGGGTCCCACGGCACCCCCTCCCCGGGTCCCACGGCACCCCCACCCCAGGGCCCACGGGGGGGTCCAGGGCCCCGCCACCCCAACCCATGACCTAGTTTTCGGGGCGAACCCTAAGCATTCCAGCACAAACACAACCCCCAAATTCCAACACTTTACACCAAAACTCTGAAAAAAACGCCTAAATACGTATCCAGAGGCCAAAATGAGCCTAACCCACGCTAAAAGTAAGCCCATAATAACCTCCACAACCCCCCGCCCCCCAAACAAATCCCCTACGAACCAGAACCAGGAAAATGACGAGCCAAATTGGAGCCCGTCAACAATCCCCCATTTGGGCCGAGGCCATTTTTCTAGCCCGCGGCGACACTTACCGAAAGTATTAAGATTCTGGATTGACATGCGACTTCTGGTGAAGCACAGGGGGGTTAAAATTAGACGGCGTCCCTCGGGGGAGAGATGGATGGCCCGGGATCAAGCTCGCCTACTGCACGGTTCACCTCAGATAATGGCGGAGAGTCACAACTTTCACCAGGAGGCCCGGATGTTGGTGCCGTGTGTGGCCGCCGGCCTCCTCCTGGCGCTCCCGTCGACCCCACAACCACCCGCCGCCATGTTTGAACTGGCTCCTGGCTCCTGGGGCGGGGGCATAGACGGGGCCGTGGGCGTAGGCGGGGCCGTGGGCGTAGGCGGGGCCGTGGGCGGGGGCGTGGGCGTAGGCGGGGCCGTGGTCATAGGCGGGGCCGTGGGCGTAGGCGGGGCCGTGGGCATAGGCGGGGGCGTGGGCGTAGGCGGGGCCGTGGGCATAGGCGGGGGCGTGGGCGTAGGCGGGGCCGTGGTCATAGGCGGGGGCGGGGCCGTGGTCATATGCGGGGCCGTGGGCGTAGGCGGGGCCGTGGTCATAGGCGGGGGCGGGGGCGTGGGCGTAGGCGGGGCCGTGGTCATAGGCGGGGCCGTGGGCGTAGGCGGGGCCGTGGGCGGGGGCGGTTTGGGCAAGGAGCGGGTATGGTTGACCTGCGAATCTAACTGTTATTATCAGTTATTTTGTACTGTATTCTCTGCTCTTCCGTCTGTCATATTAATTTAGTAATATTAATAATTTTTATTTACAAATATTCAGAAGAATAATATACAGCGGGTTAATAATTGTTACTAAGAATGAATATTTAATAACGCCACTAATATACAAAGCATCTCCGGTATAACTTATAATAAATATTTTTATTGAGAAGCTTAAGAATGTGTCGTTATTGTGTCTGTCTGCGTCTTGTTATTGTGTCTGTCTGCGTCATGTTATTGTGTCTGTCTGCGTCTTGTTATTGTGTCTGTCTGCGTCATGTTATTGTGTCTGTCTGCGTCATGTTATTGTGTCTGTCTGCGTCATGTTATTGTGTCTGTCTGCGTCATGTTATTGTGTCTGTCTGCGTCATGTTATTGTGTCTGTCTGCGTCATGTTATTGTGTCTGCGTCATGTTATTGTGTCTGTATTCTGAACCCGGCAGGCCGGTCTAAGGTATTCTGAACCCGGCCGGCCGGTCTAAGGTATTCTGAACCCGGCCGGCCGGTCTAAAGTATTCTGAACCCGGCCGGCCGGTCTAAAGTATTCTGAACCCGGCCGGCTGGTCTAAGGTATTCTGAACCCGGCCGGCCGGTCTAAGGTATTCTGAACCTGGCCGGCCGGTCTAAAGTATTCTGAACCTGGCTGGCCGGTCTAAAGTATTCTGAACCCGGCCGGCTGGTCTAAGGTATTCTGAACCCGGCCGGCCGGTCTAAGGTATTCTGAACCCGGCCGGCTGGTCTAAGGTATTCTGAACCCGTCCGGCCAGTCTAAGGTATTCTGAACCCGGCCGGCCGGTCTAAGGTATTCTGAACCCGGCCGGCCGGTCTAAAGTATTCTGAACCCGGCCGGCCGGTCTAAAGTATTCTGAAACTGGCCGGCCAGTCTAAGGTATTCTGAACCCGGCCGGCCGGTCTAAAGTATTCTGAACCCGTCCGGCCGGTCTAAGGTATTCTGAACCTGGCCGGCCGGTCTAAGGTATTCTGAACCCGTCCGGCCGGTCTAAGGTATTCTGAACCCGGCCGGTCGGTCTAAGGTATTCTGAACCCGTCCGGCCGGTCTAAGGTATTCTGAACCCGGCTGGCTGGTCTAAGGTATTCTGAATCCGGCCGGTCGGTCTAAGGTATTCTGAACCCGACCGGTCGGTCTAAGGTATTCTGATCCCGGCCGGCCGGTCTAAGGTATTCTGAACCCGGCCGGCCGGTCTAAGGTATTCTGAACCCGGCCGACTGGTCTAAGGTATACTGAACCCGGCCGGCCGGTCTAAGGTATTCTGAACCCGGCCGGTTGGTCTAAGGTATACTGAACCCGGCCGGCCGGTCTAAGGTATTCTGAACCTGGCCGGCCGGTCTAAGGTATTCTGGACCTGGCCGGCCGGTCTAAGGTATTCTGAACCCGTCCGGCCGGTCTAAGGTATTCTGAACCTGGCTGGCCGGTCTAAGGTATTCTGAACCCGTCCGGCTGGTCTAAGGTATTCTGAACCTGGCCGGCCGGTCTAAGGTATTCTGAACCCGTCCGGCCGGTCTAAGGTATTCTGAACCTGGCCGGCCGGTCTAAGGTATTCTGAACCCGTCTGGCCGGTCTAAGGTATTCTGAACCTGGCCGGCCGGTCTAAGGTATTCTTAAACCGTCCGGCCGGTCTAAGGTATTCTGAACCCGGCCGGTCGGTCTAAGGTATTCTGAACCCGTCCGACCGGTCTAAGGTATTCTGAACCCGGCCGGCTGGTCTAAGGTATTCTGAACCCAGGCGGTCAGTCTAAGGTATTCTGAACCCGACAGGTCGGTCTAAGGTATTCTGAACCCGGCCGGCCGGTCTAAGGTATTCTGAACCCGGCCGGCCGGTCTAAGGTATTCTGAACCCGGCCGGTCGGTCTAAGGTATACTGAACCCGGCCGGCCGGTCTAAGGTATTCTGAACCCGGCCGATCGGTCTAAGGTATTCTGAACCCGGCAGGCGGTCTAAGGTATTCTGAACCCGGCCTGCTGGTCTAAGGTATTCTGAACCCGGCCGGCTGGTCTAAGGTATTCTGAACCCGGCCGGCTGGTCTAAGGTATTCTGAACATGGCCGGCCGGTCGGTCTAAGGTATTCTGAACCCGGCCGGCCGAAGGTATTATGAACCCGGCCGGCCGGTCTAAGGTATTCTGAACCCGGCCGGTCGGTCTAAGGTATTCTGAACCCGTCCGGCCGGTCTAAGGTATTCTGAACCCGGCTGGCTGGTCTAAGGTATTCTGAATCCGGCCGGTCGGTCTAAGGTATTCTGAACCCGACCGGTCGGTCTAAGGTATTCTGATCCCGGCCGGCCGGTCTAAGGTATTCTGAACCCGGCCGGCCGGTCAAAGGTATTCTGAACCCGGCCGGCTGGTCTAAGGTATACTGAACCCGGCCGGCCGGTCTAAGGTATTCTGAACCCGGCCGGTTGGTCTAAGGTATACTGAACCCGGCCGGCCGGTCTAAGGTATTCTGAACCTGGCCGGCCGGTCTAAGGTATTCTGGACCTGGCCGGCCGGTCTAAGGTATTCTGAACCCGTCCGGCCGGTCTAAGGTATTCTGAACCTGGCTGGCCGGTCTAAGGTATTCTGAACCCGTCCGGCTGGTCTAAGGTATTCTGAACCTGGCCGGCCGGTCTAAGGTATTCTGAACCCGTCCGGCCGGTCTAAGGTATTCTGAACCTGGCCGGCCGGTCTAAGGTATTCTGAACCCGTCTGGCCGGTCTAAGGTATTCTGAACCTGGCCGGCCGGTCTAAGGTATTCTTAAACCGTCCGGCCGGTCTAAGGTATTCTGAACCCGGCCGGTCGGTCTAAGGTATTCTGAACCCGTCCGACCGGTCTAAGGTATTCTGAACCCGGCCGGCTGGTCTAAGGTATTCTGAACCCAGCCGGTCAGTCTAAGGTATTCTGAACCCGACCGGTCGGTCTAAGGTATTCTGAACCCGGCCGGCCGGTCTAAGGTATTCTGAACCCGGCTGGCCGGTCTAAGGTATTCTGAACCCGGCCGGTCGGTCTAAGGTATACTGAACCCGGCCGGCCGGTCTAAGGTATTCTGAACCCGGCCGATCGGTCTAAGGTATTCTGAACCCGGCAGGCGGTCTAAGGTATTCTGAACCCGGCCTGCTGGTCTAAGGTATTCTGAACCCGGCCGGCTGGTCTAAGGTATTCTGAACCCGGCCGGCTGGTCTAAGGTATTCTGAACATGGCCGGCCGGTCGGTCTAAGGTATTCTGAACCCGGCCGGCCGAAGGTATTATGAACCCGGCCGGCTGGTCTAAGGTATTCTGAACCCGGCCGGCTGGTCTAAGGTATTCTGAACCCGGCAGGCCGGTCTAAGGTATTCTGAACCCGGCCGGCTGGTCTAAGGTATTCTGAACCTGGCCAGCTGGTCTAAGGTATTTTGAACCCGGCCGGCTGGTCTAAGGTATTCTGAACCCGGCCAGCTGGTCTAAGGTATTCTGAACCCGGCCGGCCGGTCTAAGGTATTCTGAACTCGGCCGGCTGGTCTAAGGTATTCTGAACCCGGCCGGCTGGTCTAAGGTATTCTGAACCCGGCCGGCCGGTCTAAGGTATTGTGAACCCGGCCGGCTGGTCTAAGGTATTGTGAACCCGGCCGGCTGGTCTAAGGTATTGTGAACCCGGCCGGCTGGTCTAAGGTATTCTGAACCCGGCCGGCCGGTCAAAGGTATTCTGAACCCGGCCGACTGGTCTAAGGTATACTGAACCCGGCCGGCCGGTCTAAGGTATTCTGAACCCGGCCGGTTGGTCTAAGGTATACTGAACCCGGCCGGCCGGTCTAAGGTATTCTGAACCTGGCCGGCCGGTCTAAGGTATTGTGAATCAATATCATAGCAATATGGAAGTTGTAGTGAAGGACCTGGTGACTCTAGTGGGAGCCCTGAGGACAGAGTTGGACTCTCTGCGGGAGGAGGTGCGTCAGCTGAAAGAACAACGAGAAGTAACGAAGGAGGAGACCAGTAGTAAAGAGACCTCGTCTTGGAGAGTTGTGAAAGACAGGGGCCTTAAGAAGACTTTGATAAAGCCGCCTTCAAACGCCATAGCAACTTCTAATTCATTTGATGTTTTGGAGGACGATTGCTGTGGAGAGACTGCGGATCGCGCAAAAGGGAAAGCAACGAAGAGCAAGGAAGCGCAGGCCCCTCAGAGAGTAAAGGAAGTACCTAAGCAAACCTTAGTTGTGGGAGATTCCCAGATAAGGTATTTGGATAGAACGTTTTGTGCTAGAGATAGGGGGAACAGGTTAAGGGTTTGCTATCCCGGAGCTGGCATTGGTGATATTATAAACAACATGAATGATATTATGGCTGGAAATGGGAACAATCCTATTATTTGCATTAGCGTGGGAGGAAATGATGTTGGTCGAGTTAGGAGTGAGGAACTGATTCAGAGGTATAAAACAGCCATAGAATTAGTTAGGAGCAAGGGAGGAATCCCGATCATATGTGGCATTCTTCCAAGAAAGGGAGTGGGAAATGAATGGATATCGAGGGC